TTGCTCATACTTTTACAGCAGCCTTAAGCTGTCGAAGTACCCATGAAAATAAATTGATGCAATTTTGCAGAATGTCGGCACAAAACGGGGAAAGGGACGATATGGCCCATGGAGGAACAGGCCAGGCATTCCAGTTGAGCCCACCAGTTTAACGATACGGTTTCACGGCAGTCGCCCCGCGATACGCGACAGTTGTTTCCAAATCATTGCGTTACCGACCACCGTTTGCATATGATCGGCCGTTCACGACAGCCCGTCTACAATACATTCCACTGCAGTCTTGTAAATTGCCCTGTTTTCAATAAATGACTTCGCGCAAATATCGTTGTCTGGCGTCATTAATTGGAATGCATCCAAAGGCTAAAAGATAAGCGGGAATATCCTTTTTGGATTGTCTTCCGACAGAAAGCATTCGTATGAGTAAAATGACATGTAGGTGTGAGATCTGTTATGCACACCTGTTTGCTCCTGTTTAACCTACAGCTAGTTACATGCTGGTGATTGCTTGCATCCAAGATCATAACTGCGTTTGTTGCTATAACGATCCTATACAAGATTTCCAGATCGGCAAAGAAGTTTCCGCGAATGGTGCATTCGCGAGGTTTATTGACTGACGCCGGTCGCAAACTAAGTCGCCAACTAGAGTATCGGTTTCAAACGCATGACGTCCGCCTCCGGAAAAAGCGCGGCATTCTCGGCCAATAACGCGCAGAACACCCTCGTTTATCTCTGTTAAAGGCTCCACGGGGATCAAACGGACGACTCCAGATAAAAAACCGCCGGCACAAAGTACCAATAAAACCAAACTGGCGTAGCGCTTTGAGACAACTGCGACACTGTGACCCTGCGACAGTGCAGCAGAGGCGGAGACGGCTACTGGACCCCTCGTCCTACGTATCTTGCATCTGGCATCCGCCTTTGCTACAGCCAGCTCCCGTCTTCAGCAGCCAGTGTTTAATTTTTTCTGACATCTTGGTGGAAAATCATTCCTTTTCATGGCCATTTAGATATCCTTCTACCATCTTTTCTTTCTTCCTTTCCACCCCAAAATAACCAGCCAAATCAATCAACATTTTTCTGAGAGTACCATTAACTGTCATTCAGAGCTTTCCAAAGCATATGACCATAAGGTTATACTTCCCACATTGGATATGGGCAATGTTTGTGTCATATGATGCATCCAATGGCTACAATCTGACTTAGTATTTCAGATGGCCAAACAAAATAACTATACCAGGGCCAACCAGGGACCATCCTTCATCATATCCTGATTCCTGCAAAATGCCATCTGCAGGAAATAAGAGGTTTATGCCTGTTTCCTGCAACTGTCATGCTATGCATCCTGAACGTCTCATCCTGTCTGTATTTGGCCTGACCTGGGCTGTGCATCATAATACAATCCTTAGACCCAAATGCGTCTTTTTTTAATTCGTGGTGAATTCAAATGAGCTACATGCCAACAGAACACGTGTTATGGGTATACGCAATGGGTATACGCAATGCTGTTGAGAATTGCTCTTTACAGACCAGAACTGAAATCTTAAGATATTCCCGGCTGGGGCCTATGTACATAACCAGTTAGTGATGTGTTTATCATCTATTTCTGGAGTTAGATATGACATGAACATGTATCTAAATCTCCGTTTGAAGAAGAGGTGCAATGAGAGAATACCAGTTCGGTATCGTTCGATCGTTCGTCAACACGCATCCGTCGGCTGATGCTATATTTTGAGGTTTGAATATCGGGCCAGGAAGAGGACATACGCGTCCTCTCCCTGGCGGCGCCCGCGAGACAGCTGCCCGGTTACCGGGCGGCGCGGCCCCGCACAGGGCACGACACATGTGGCGCAGTTTCCGGGCTGGCCGTAGGGCCGGGGCCGCAGGGACGGTAAACTAAACAAAACATAAATCTAAAGGGATACTCGACACGGGACCGAAAAATGGAGAAAAAAAAACAGAAGCTCAGAGACAGGACAGCAAAGCCGACACTTCACAAAAAAGGAAACCGTGTAAAGGCAGATTGTACGGAACAATACCTAGTATTTAGAACCTGTCAAATTTAAGTAAGGCTTTTATCTTCGAAGAGAAGACATCATATTGACAACGCGTCGATTTTTCAGTGTTCTCCAATTGCAGCGT